AACAACATGGACATTCCATCTTAACCCAACAAGAATGACCATCATCAAGAAATCAAAGAACAACAAATGCTGATGAGGCTGTGGGAGAAAGGAAACCCTTCTACATGTTTTATAGTAACGTAAACTAGTGTAAAACCATGTGTTATGGCTTGTATCTAGATGTCCCCTCGAAGACCCACACAATCATAGGTGGGGCTTTTCAGAGGTGGCTGAATCTAGGTTGTGTGATGCTGGGATTAAGGGTGTGCGACTACTAAATGAGGCCACTGGTTGGTTTGGCTCAGTTCTCAGTGTGGATAATGCATAAAGAAAATATAGTATTTACACACAATGGAGTACTACACTACCATAAAGACAAACTTGACTCATTTCTAGGAAAATAATTGCACTTTGAGACCATAATGTTAAGTGATACATGAGCTTAAATATCACATGGTTTCTCCTGTATGAGAAACTAAAACTGTAAATAAAGAACCAAATAAAACATAGTATGATCTTTCTCAAAGGGAGGAATCACGATGTGGAGGGAAGGACTCAGGAGGGGAGGAGGGTAAGGGGATGAAAAAAGGAATTAGAGATGTTATATACATGTACCGACTCCAAACAAGGATTGTAAACATTATTTATTGTAAATGTACTAATAAAAAGTAAAATAAAATGAGTTTAAAGCTCACAATATATTTGCTATGGTGTTGTGCACATGGGAAAATGTAATGAATGCTTAACCCCCGTTAATACTATTATCAACATTAATTATATTGCTATACACTTGCTCTAAATGTACATCCTTACTAGAAAATGTGGATGATAACAACAGTCCTATTTTTATCTTTAAACAGTATCGAAGATTAAATAAAATTTCTGTTAAAAGCTTTTTTAAATCTTGATATGATGGAAGACATCATTTAATATATAAAACATAGAAATCTCTGTCCTTGAGTTTACATTCCTATATGGGACACATAGACAGTAAGTATAGTAAATGAGTAAATTACAGGCTGCATTTTAAATGAAATGCTTTGGAAAAGGAGAAGAAGTATATGGAAACCAAGGTAAGGGAGCTCTTAAGAGTCAGCTGAAGAACCTAGGATTTACAGTGGACCCTTGACTTATGAACTCAATCGGTTCCTAAGGGCTGGTTGTAACTCAAGTTGGTTGTATGTCAATACAGCTAAGATTTAAATATTTGCCTGGGTACATGTTATAGATATTAAGAAGCAGATTAATTTTCCATTAACCTAATTAATCCAAGTTTTTCGAATGTCAGGCTGGTCATAACTTGAGGATCTACTGTATTTAAATAGAATGATCAACTGGGCCTCTGATGAAGTAACATTTATGCAAGGATGAAGAATTTAGAGAGTGGGCCAGAGGTCTGCTTAGACCCACTTGAGCCAAAGTGTCCCAGGTAATCCCTTAGGAAGGGATTGTGTATGGCATGTTAAAGCAATAGGCAGCAAGGTGACCAGTGTCCCTGGAGGAAACAAGAAAAAGCAGAAGCAGATGGGGTCAGAGATACCGTGGTGGGGAAAAGGGCACCTTGGATGCTACGCTTTGATAACTATTCCTAAGCAACATGCCAGATGTCTTTTTATAAGTTTTTCATCAACAAGGAATGATTACTTGTGACAAGATCAGAAACCATGAGTTTTGCAATCTAATAGATCAGAGTTATACTTGTGTGACCCTGGGAAAGTTATTCAATGTCTCTGAGCTGCTGCTTTTCATCTACAAGTGAAGGCAGTGTCTTATAAAATCACAGGGACATTTATAATTGATGTAGGTAAAGTTCTAGGCAGTGTCCAGCACCCAAATGAGAGCTCAGTAAATGGAAGTAGGCTCTGAGAATAGCACAAAAACATTCATGTGGCTTATGCTATGAGGAACAAGCTTCCATTACCCAGTGGCTATTTGGGTATCCCTATGTATTAGGGCACCACAAGAACTCAGGTGATCTGCAGTATCTGTCATTGCATCTGGTGGCTTGACCATTAATCAAATAAGGTTCAAAATGCATCATAGGAACTTTCACATGCCTTGTGCTATTTTCAGTCATAAAGGTTGCTCTAGTCTTGTACTAAAGCCAAGTGGTGGCTTTAAAATTAGTAGTATTTTCATGAAGTGTAGAACTAGCTATTCCTGATTTGACTGAAGGCAATTGTAGCAGACAATGACAAGCTAAAGAAACTTGATTGCAGGTGTCTGAGTTAGTGTAATATGTGATTAGTCTTGTCCCATGAACTTTAATCCCAGTGCTGTGTGTGTGTGGACATGATGAGGTATTCTCCCACAATTCAAGTTCAAGCCTTCTTACTTCCTGCTCAGCATTTTCCAATGGCCATTTGTTTCTTCTGACTTGCTATCTTGCACTTCTCCAAACCCTCCTATGCGTACCTGCCAGTGTGGTGGCCCAATAGCAAGACCCAAGTCCCACCAGTCTTTAGCTCTGAAGTTGTTATTCAGGCCTCCCCGCAATTGTGAGTCTTATCCTTGGAGAAGGAAACCCTGTCCAATTTAATTTCCTCTCACATGTGCAAGAAAACTCAGTTCCATCTGCTTTGGTTTATCTTTTTAATTCACTGACCACCCTTGTAGAGAAAGACCGATTCTAGAATAGAACCAGGAAAAGCATAGTAAGAAAAGTATGGAACATCTTGAGGGGCCAGAAATTAAGGAAGATTATTATATGGGAAAGAGACATGGAAACTAACTGAGGGAGATCACGAAATATTCAAAGCTGGCACCTTTTGAACAACATCATTAACCCACCGTTGGGTAACAATTTAAGATATAAGATAAATATCCACAATTTTATACTAATATAAATAAATGAATAAGTGAAAAGATGAAAAAAAGAAAAATCTCTCATGCAGAAGAACACTAAATAATTTTAGGAGATACTACAGCCTGGAAAAGGTGAAGCATAATTTCTCTCTCCTTAAATGTTGGCTGCACAGGGTAACTTCCTTCCAAAGAGTTCAGTATGTAAAATGGCAGGAGAAAAGTGACTTTATAATGAAGAATTTGAACAAGAAATTGAACAATTGCCAGCCAAGTGAGTACCCAAGATTAGCATCAACAGGGATAAGCCTCATTAATAGTATATACCCTTGATATTATGTGATGAAAATGGCATTTTTTTCTCTATGCTCTTCCTCCAAAACTACGTAACCTCAGCCTACTCCTGAAAGAAAAATCAGACAATTTCCATTTGGAAGCCATTTTATGGAATACCTGACAAGTACTCCCCCAAACTGTAAAAGTCCTCAGAAAGCAAGGAAAAACAAGAAACGTTTGGGAATATGCCATAGCCAAAAGGAGCTTAAGAATGTAAGACAACTGAATGTAGTGTGGAATTCTTGATGAGACCCTAGAACAAAAAAAGATAAAAACTAAAGTAAGTCCACCAAAGCCTAGAGTTTGATTCATAATAATGAATACATATGCATTCATCTGTAACAGACGTACCATGCTAAATATTTTAAGGCTAATAGAATAAATTAGGAAATAATGGAGTGTGGTATAGTTGGGGACTCAGTACTACCTTCACACATTTTCTGAAATTCTAAAATTATTCAAAAATAAAAGTGTTTTTTAAAATGCTTCAGGGGGCCAGGGATTTAGCTCAGTGATTGTACCGCCTGCCCTACAAACACAAGGACCCGAATTCAATCCCCGGAACAAAAAAAAAAAGTACTACAGACTCACATATAGTAAAATGCCTTCCTTTCTTAGTATTCATTGAAGCCCTGTCTTTTGAGTGAGAAACCATCCTGATTCTTCAGAAAGGAGCAGTTTCCTCTTCCACGTAGGTCCACAGCACTTGGTATGATCCCAAATCTGCGAAATATTGTTGGGAAGACACAGCAAAATCGCAGCTGCCCCTCTGTGTGGAGAACCACTGAATTGTACTGTGAGTCCTCAGGGAATGGGATGAGGCTGTGTCTAACGTCTTCTGTTCTTCTCCCTCCCTTCTCCTCTTCTTCCCAGAGGTTCTTGAATCTCCTTATGCGCCTCTGTGCTTACGGATGGTAGACATGTCCCTCATAGCCTATAACACAGTAACTTGCCTATGGTGGTATTTAACACTTTTGCTGTGTTTCTGCCAACTGACTTCTAATTGCCAAGAACCCTAAATGTTGTGGGTCCATTCTGGTAGAATGAAAACTATTCTCTCTGTAGTCAAAGCTTAATGCTGGGAAGTTCATGCCTGGTTTCTGGCCACATGCAGCTATCACTTGTATCCCTGGAGTCCTTGCCAAACAGATTGTCTTCAGATCACAAATTCCTACCTGAGTGTTTATCACCCTTGACCCTAACCCAGGAGCTCACTTGCGTGGGACAGAGTTGAGGTTGCCAGTAAGTGTTGATGATGCAAAGGAGCTGTGAAAACGTATGCAGTCACACACCTGGGCCCACTATTTGAGAAAATGTTTAAAGCTCGTACTAATTTCCTCTAGTAACTCTTTCTTTCATTTGTGGATGTGATCTGCATCTGGTAACTGACTTATACCTAAATTTTCAGACCAGCTACCTTGAGAGTGGACAGACGGCAGCAGCAAAAAATGATTTTTAGGCATTTTTCTCGGCACTGTGGGGTTTACATCACTGGGATATCTGTTATCATTAGTGTACTTCAGAGACTCTTCCATGCAAAGATATGACAGGTGGAAGCTCTCTAAATGTCACACGTTTTGATCACATAGTATCTTTCTATGGGGCTTTAGTAGTGGGCATAAACTGTTTTTTTGCCTCTCAATACATACAGTCCAGGACAGTCACATCTTTTAGACTGTGCCTTGGTATCCTATGTTGCTTTGGGAAGATAGCGTGGTGGCGTTTGCCTTCGCCAGGAGTACGCCTACACAAGACAGCCCCTCAATAATGATATTTCCTGGCAACTATTTGTCTAATCTCTATCACTTTTCCCACATCCTCCACAGGCCTGAATGCCCACCGCACCATTTCTAATAATGTCCCCGTTCTTTCTATTTTGCCAGAAGGAGGGACATGTGAAGTGATAGCAGCACACAGATGTTGTAACAAGAATCGCATAGAGGAGCGGTCACAAACAGTGAAATGCTCCTGTCTACCTGGGAAAGTTGCTGGAACCACCAGAAACCGGCCTTCCTGTGTTGATGGTGAGTAGCCGGCTTTACATCCTCATGACACGCACACCGTTGTCTTGTTCGAACTAAAGATGGTTCAGGAGAAATCACAAGGTACATCCAGAATGCTAGAAGGCCACACATGCCATGCTGCAGCCAAATCTTCAAATTCCTGTGTTTTGAGTGCTAGATGTGAGTGAACCCTTTAAAACTCATTCAAATTAGTGTGCCGTGGTGGCAGTGTTGGGAGGTGATCGAGCCACGAGGGTTCCACCCTTGGGAGTGGGATCAATGCCATAGAGAAGACTGAGTTCACCCCTCTTGCACCTTGTCCTTGAGCCTTCTGCAGGGGATAATGCAGCTACAAGATGCTCAGCAGGTGCTGATGTATCACTTGAGCTTGTACTTGGCAGCCCCTAGAACTGTGTGCCAACAAGTTTCTGTTTATTGGGAGTTACCAAGTCACAAGTATTCTGTTATATCAGCACAAAATGGACTCAAACATCTGATTTTTGCTTTCAGATGTCTCATTTTCAACATTTTTCAGAGCAAAAGAAACTTTTTGAGTAGAAAAATGTGAAGGTCCATCCCACTAAGAAGTGATTTTAGATTTAAGCTACATAGAATGATGATAGTAATAGTAAAGATAACATTATTTAACATTCATTCAAAAGGCATTTAATGAGCTCTCACTATATGGCAGGCACCATTCTGAGTTCTTTGGATACCATGTGCTAGGCTGTGTGATGAATATTTCTCATACATTATTTTATCTAATCCTATAACCAATCCTATAAAGCAATATATAAGTTATCTCTTTCTTTATAGCAAATCACTCCAAACTTGCCAGCAAATGTTATCTAACAGTTTTTGTGAATGAAAAATCTAGCTTCTCTGGGAGGCTCTGACTCAGGGTCTCATATAGATGCAATCAAAACCAAATGGTCTGGATGGTGCTGGAGAATGATTAAAAGGTGACCCATTCCCATGGATGTTGGCAGGTGGCCTGTGTTCTTTGCCACGTGGATCTAGGAATTTGGTGTCCTTACAATGCGGTGGCTGGCTTCCCTCAAAGTGAGTAGTTCAGAAAAAAAAAAAAAAAA